GATTCGTAACCACTACGCTACCATTAGTACAAAAAAAAAAAAAAAAAAAGACAATATATTTGCACACATGCATGTAGAAGGAAAAAAATAAAAGAACATAGAAAATTGTACCATAGTAATCAGGATGCAGTATAACCAAAATTTGGTTTTCAAATTGAGAATATATTCTTGCTTAGTAGGAAGAATGTTCTGGAGTAAAGTATCAGGCTCCCGTTTTAGAAGACACCTCTTGTCTAATCTGGTACGTATCAATTGCATCTTCATTCTCCATTGCCAACTATGCAAGTGTGTCTATTCCATTGATTGGCTGCCCATCAAATCATAATCTGATATGCCTCATTGACAAACCTTGCAGTTCACAGGTTTCATTCATTTACTAAGTGGTGTATATCCCTTAAACTTAAACTGCAACACAGAAACATTCTGCCTCATCATCTCCCAATTAATAAATCATGTTTTCAACCTTGACTCCTTCTTTGGGTGTTTCAACAGCTATGGCAAGTACCTGAGTCTTTTCAGTTGCTACTTCACAAAAGCAGTTAACAGGTCCTCATTGGAGTAGCACATAAGCAGCACCAGGAGAGGCAGAAGAAAGGGGAGACAGTGTTGGAGGAAGGAAGGAAAGGGCATGTACATGTCGTTGTCCACATTTTGGCATTTTTGTTTAATAAAGATTGCTATTATTTTGTAGCAATACTTTTTGACATACCCTATATATTTTTCTCTATTTCCTTTTTATTTATTAAAGTGCCAACTTATTCCTGCTGAGCACAAATGGATGTGAGGAAAAGGGCTCTAACACTCACATAGAACAAAGAAATGGAAGGGATGGGGGCAGGAAATGAAGAGCCGTAACTCCAAAGGGCTAAAGTGAACTGCTGAAGGACTTAAGGCTTGCTCTAAAATCTTTGTTTCCTTTGGATTTATCTTTTCAAGATTTTTTATGCTTACTCTAAAAATCAGTTTCTCCATGTGAAGTAGATAGGAGGACTAATAGTATTATAATGGCTGCCTGATAAACTTAGGAATGACTGTGTCATATCATGCAGCTGTGATTCATATCTAGTGGGGTAGAGATGCAGAAAAGCTAGGATGCTTAACAAGGGACTCTGGGAAAAATTCAAGTTTGTGAACCCTTAGCTTAAAGGGAGATGTGCTTTTCTTTAATGAGGGAGGGAAATCACACCCTTACATGGATGACAGCAACTGGATCAGAAACTGAGGGGTTAAAAGTAAAGATCCAATGGAGAGAAAGGTTGAGAGAAAGAAGCAGAAAGGCAGAAAGAAAAAGAAAAGAAGGGAATCAGGCAGATAGAATCAGAAAACCCAAGGAAGTTGTTTGACAACATGGAAAAGAATCTGGAAAGTCAATACAGCTTTCCATATCTAAAATTCAGATTATTACAGACTGGGCCTAGGAGGGTTGCTGCTTCTTCATGGAAATAACTTCTACTCTAACTTGTGTGCCCCACATGTACCTTCATGGCTGGGCCTACCTCACAAATGTCTTTGAGATGCTTGATGTAGTGACGTTCAGTACTCATGATCTCATTGATGACATTGGCCCGCATCTGGTCCCGGTTCTGTAGTGGCCGGCCCAGGCAGAGGCAGTCTGAATTGGGATCCAGATGTCCATTCTGCACATCACTAGGCCCTTCTTCCACCCCATCCTCTTGGTTTACCCAGAGCTGTGGAAACAAGCAGAAGAAGAAAAATGAGTTAACTTTCCTCTTTGAAAGCTTTAGTCAAATAGAACAAGGTTGAAATAAGTTCTTTAGGAATTCAGAGAACCTTTAACCAAAGGGTTCCTGCAAAGTGAGTTCAAGACCTAGCTCTAGGGTAACTTACTGGTCCTAGACATGTGTAGGTCTCTAGTACCCATCTGTGAAATGGATAATGGGGAGGGGTGGTACTAAATCATCTCTCAGAAACCTGTCAACTATTGAGGTCTCAGAGGGAGGAGTGATGGTAAGCAGAGCTCATTCATGCTGTAGCACTTTAAGCAACACAGTTTGATAATAATTAAAAAGAATTAAGTGATAGATCTTGAGTTCCACCACTAGATTAATGTCAACACATAGTATTCAAATACTTACCAAAGTTTGATGCTGGAATGCACATTTCAAAAATATGGGCTTTGAAAGGAAAGAGACCTAGGATAAGCAAAGCACTGCTTAAAAAGAAGAACAAGGTTGGAGGTCTCTCACTCCCTGATTTCAAAATTTACTACATGGCAACAGTGGTGAAAACAACCTGGTACTGTTACAATGAAAGATACATTGATCAATGGAACAGAATCGAGAATCCAGAAATTAATCCAACCTCATACAGCCGAATGATTTCTGACAAAGTGCCTAGATATATTGCATGGGGAGGACACAAGCTCTTTAATAAATGGTGCTGGCAGAAATGGAAAGCGATATGTAAAAGACTGAAACAAGACCTTTGCCTTACACCCTATACAAAAACCAACTCAGCAGTGATTAAAGATCTAAATGTGAATCCCAAAATTAAGAAGGTCATCAATGAAAAGATAGGGACAAATGTGAGGGCGCTAATTCAGGGCATGCACAGACTACCAAACATTTTGAAAAGTACACAAACAAAAATAGACAAAATAGATGAGTGGGACATACTAAAAATTAAAAACTTATGTGAATCAAAAGACTTCACCAGAATAAAAAGGGAACATTTTTACTCCATAGAATGGAAAAAAATATTTTGCAACGACACATCAGATAAGGGACTCATTTCTAAAATATATAGTAAACCTCTACAAGAAAAAGACAAATAACCCCATTAAAAAATGGGCACAGAACATGAACAGACACTTCACCAAGGACAAGATCTGGGCAGCCAACATTTGAAGAAATATTCAAGATCACTAGCCATCAGAGAAATGCAAATCAAAACAACAATGAGATATCATCTCACACCAGCAATAACAGCAAAGATAAAAAAA